TCCGCTTACCGCCGGGTGACATTGCATTCGCGCACTCGAAAATTCCCGTTTCAGCTTGAATTAAAAACGACCTCTACGAGGCTGAAGATCCTAGTCGGGGTCGCGAATAGAAACTTGAGGAGATTGCCGCAATGGCAGAGTGCATGTTTCAAATAAATTATACGGTTTATAAAGTACGGCATTCGACAATACGAACGTCTTTTCTTCCATTTCTGTATCTTGAAAAATTATTTTCACTTTAGATAATATTTTATTATAATCACTTTTTACCCTTTCACCGAGGGGTAAACCGCTGACCAAAATCACGTACACCAATGCCTACAGTGGGCATTGCTTAATTTTATCTTTATAATGCCCAAAAAATGCCTAGTAAATGCGGTTTACCCCTCGGTTCTTACGCTGCGAAGTAATCATTACATTGACCGACCAAATCTGACTTTTTTTTGTAACACGAAAACATATGCCTTTTTCTATCAGAGATTAGGTTATTGAGGAAGGAAATGATATCCCAGCAAACACCAAAGTAACAATTACATAATATCAATGCAAATGTAATAATGCAAGTGTTATATTACATTTATATTGATGTTATGTAACTGTTACTTTGGTGTTTGCTGGGATGAAATAAATTCAGACACGAACAGTTTTATAGTAACACTATTTTTACTTTTCGAAAATAATACGAAAGTTATTGTAATTGGGATTTTCTTCTATATTTCGCGTCAGGAACGTCTCTTCTTAATGTCCGACAATAACACTGGCCGACAAAATCTGTCTTTTTTTTTTGTAACACGAATACTTAAAAATTATTGTACAAAAACTCGAAAGTAACAAAATTAAACTACTTCACCGGTAACAAAGCCACAACAATAAAATACAACGTTAAGTGGCAGTGTAAAAGCAGTAAATATGAAATTTTATAGGTTGTAACTGTCACAAAACAAAACAAGACCCGACCAAAACGAAACAAATTCGATTTCGTGATAACAATAGACGGAGATATCAAAATTAGCAAATACTTTTCTTGTTACAAAATTTTGTTGACCAGTGTTATTATACAATCCGCGCTCGCACGCTCGCGATAAAAGCTCCAATTTGATCGAAAATACCGAGTTACACAAAATACAAGGAAATAAAGGACAAATATAAAATATAACGTGGGTAGAAAAATAGTGTGTAATCTCCATAAATTTCCAAATGACTTGACGACAAATCGATGGCTGTATTATCGAGAGGAAATGATGAAGAAAAAGACTCGCTCGAGAAGGAATCGTTGAAAGCTCTGATATATAATTCCAATCGGTTTTTCACAGCTTTGCAGTGACAACGATGACAATATCTGATTTGCTACGTCGTTCGCGGTGCACGGGTTACGTCATATCGTTGCGAATATCTATGCGTCGCGACGGCAGACAGACGCATTTCTTGAGCCGCATTCCTCTCCTCCCTCGGCTTGTATACCGCGTGCGTGATACCGACCCTATGACCCGGTCACGTAACTAGAGCGTGAGTTAGTTCGGGGCGAGAGACGCAGCCTCCTTCCTCCTCGACTTGGCGATGATGAGGAAAATGTCTTCCGCATAGTCACGGAAGGGATGGCCCTGCACTCTCTCGCGATGCCACGAGGACAAAGACGAACGCGAGTGTCGCGAATTTTCCATCTGGATATACACGCTCCCACGTAATCGTCCGTGATTCTCTCGTGACTGGGAATTTTTCAGAAATCTACGCGAACGTCTCGGGATCGAAAGGAACGCGCGCCAAGATATTTGACTCGTTTTATGATTATATCAAATGTGTGTCAGGTTCGCCATATGTGCTTTTTGTCGTGCTTCTTTTGGCCAATTCTTTGATCAATAGAGAGATAATTTGTTGTTAGTAAAAATGTCAATGTATGACTAGCGATAAACTTGAAAATTAAGTGCCGTTAAAGTAAGATATAATTTGAAATGACCAAAACTGTAAGGACACAATTTGATTATAGAATTAAATTTGTTTAGGTTCATTTAGAAATTAATCAAAGCAATCTCTTTGCAAATACTTTGTTACAGCGTTATTAGCACATTTTTATCTTGTAAATTGTTCTTTTTCACATTCTCCGAAAGTTTGGAGAATACTTTTAAACCGGGATGTCACTCGATACTCGAAGGAACGACGAGAAAGATTGCCGGATGAACGAGAAGTGTCACAAACGCATACGATAAAGCGCGAAGTGCATGCGAAGTTCGCTGCATTATTGACGCTCTTGCAGCTTTCTTGCAGCTGCGTTTCGCGGCGGCGGTGCCGCTTAAATTTCAATCCGGCTCTCAGGATTGCCGCGGATGCGGCTCCGTCGGGAACGGAGTGCACGCGACATTGCTTCGACGAGGAGTAGCGCGGTATTATTGCGATGACAACCGAGAACCGATGCTCGAAGCACGGTACCGTATGTGAAGAGTTCTCGCTGCATCGGAATCTGATCGAACGAAAATTCAATACCTACATCCGACAACTTAACTGGCAGGATCGAGGAAGATAATTAAGTGCAATTATTATGTAGAAAAGTTCATTTTACAATGCACCTTTTATCCAACTTGTTTCGTATACATATCTGTACACATTAGTGCCAAATCATTATTTTCAACATTAAAAGAAATATGAGCACGTACTTTTCTGGACATATGTTACGAAGCTATTTAAATATCACACGGAGAGACCGATATGGTTACCACGTGTCTAATTATGGTTGGCACAACCTCAATAAATAGTAATATTTGGGACAGCTATATCTGTGATTGTCATACATAAGTAGAGGTGTGACATTTTGATGTTATCTTTATTATCTTCTGCATTGTAGTAGGAAGATCAATTGTTGGTTGGTTTCGCATATTCTGGTGTTCAGATTCATCCAATCCTTCAGTATCCTGGTAGCGTTAAATCCATATCTTCTAGAGATTGACGTGAAGAAACTCTCCTTGGGAATAGACACCATCTTTTCGGTCGTAGGTGTAAATTTAAACATGATAAATCTCTTTAGGTTGCCAGTAATAAATAACAATGGATTTTATTTGAATTGATTAAACAAGTGCCAGTTAAGGTCGACTAAACTGATCCATTGTTATTTATTACTGGCAACCTAAAGAGATTTATCATGTTTAAAGAGATTTATGCCTTAATAAATGTTGTAAATTGTTGTATCAAAACATTGAGGCCCGGATTCACCAACGTTGTTTAGCTTTAAGCTTAGCCTAATTCGTTCTTTGCCTTTTTCTAAAGTAGCAGTTGGAAAGGGGTAAAGAACGAATTAAACTAAGTTTAAAGTTAAGCGACGTTGGTGAAACCGGGCCTAAGTCGTCTTATTGAAGCCCTGCCCACCTCTGACCACGGCATTATCAAAAACATTATTAAAATAATGCAAAATCCGGAAAAATAAAACGCAAAAGATGCAAAAAAAATAACATCAAAATAACGCACAATCTGGAAAAACAAAATGCCAAAAATGCCAAAAAATAACATGAAAATGTCACACCTCTACCCATGAGTAGCGGAGACAACCACGTGCACCTTGTGCAGCAAACTTAGTGAACGTTGCAACACAAAACAATGTAGATGCCCCTACTAGCTACTTATACGGCAACATTTAAATTTTAGTTATTTTTGCCTCAGCACGGTCTTTCCGTGCAGAGTTATCGGCCCGCGTCCGAAGAAATGCGAGCTGTAATTGTTTTGTGCCTCTTGTAGGGGAAAACTCGTCGAGACTACATAAGTACGCTTGATATTGTTAAAGCAACATGGGGGCAATGGGTCTCATCGGTGAAGAACTGTACGTTCATTCATTTTTAATGACAGAAGAACGTAGCTAATAATACGGTGGATGAAAGAAACGTGCGCGAGTCGATCGATACGACGTGATATGAGTAATAAAAATACCGTGCAGTGAAGTACTTGTATGTATAAGTCATCGTTGGAAAGAAACATTTCTGAAACGTTACACGTGACTTGTATTTTATATATATTTATACGTGTAATATATAGATATATACACGTATTCCCCTTTGAACATATTTTTATTATCCTTGTTGCCTTTTCTCTTGGTAGCACTTTATAATCTATCATCTTCAACACACTTTTCATCAATTTTGAAAACGTTGGTTGTTAAGCAAAATATCTAAAATGCCCCCGGTGGTCGAATTGATGAGACGCCCGCCTGGGAGGTCCAGGTTCAAACCCCGGCTGAGTTGTTATTTTTTGCAATAGACTTAAAATTGTAATTATTTAGACACCAACATCTTGTCTTGGCTCTTATTTATTGGGTTTTATCAGTTTTCTCTCCGAAAATTGATTTTCTATACTGCAAGAGTAGTGTATCGCCTGAAGTTATTGAATTACAAAACGTTCGATAATTGCAAGACAAGTATGCAAACGTTCTCATTTCTGGTGAAATTGAATTAAATATTTCTTCTGGGAAATAAGGTATCAAAATACAGGTTATTCAATATTGCGTTAACTGATGCTGATATTTGAATGCAGATATGCTTTGAGCGGAATACGAACTCGTGAAAAATTACCTTAATTACCTTCCAAGCGCAATTCGAATCGTGCGATTCGAGAATGTAATGGCTTTATAAGTAATCGATATAAATCCAAATCGGTATTATTGCATCGACACGCACTTGCATTACAACGAGCCCCGGTTACACGTACAGAATTATTAAATAACGGCCTCGTTCGAAACGGCCTATTCTCAAATTAACAGATAACGCTTCTATTCGTCTCTCTGTGAGAGATTTTTCCGGTTTATTTATTGTCAGTGTCATCGGTGTTCCGTCTCACTCTTTCGCCGTTTGACTTATATTAAAACGATGTGAGACGCCCGCCTAGAGTGTAGGGAGGGTCCAGGTTCAAGTCCTGGCTGAGGTAATATTTTTCGCAATAAATTTTCTGTATTATTAAAAATGCCAGGACATGGTCAAGAAAATACTGAAGTTGTTAAAACGATGTGTTTACGGTGTGTGTTTCAGAGCGCGAGTCAAGTCCGGCGTGAAGATCCTGGATGCCTCCTCCAGCAGCCCGGACTGGATCGTCGATAGCGATGTCAACGTGAAGAACACGGCCGCCACGTTTACAGCGCGACGTAAGGAGAACCCGTCGCGTGTACCGAGCACGTAAGTACATCATGTACCCTCTCGGAATGGCCCTGTCGCGCAATCTGCCCTCGTTAAGCTGACATACGTCGGCGAGTTTAAAAAGACTCTTACTGGAATTGTGAACATGAGGGCAGTTAATGTAATGAGCAATTTAAATCCCTCGTTTCCGTTCGTTAAACCGAGAGTACGAGCGCGTTACGTCTTGCTGCAAAGCGAATCAGACCAGAATTTTCGGGCGAATAAACATTGAAAAGTAAAGATCCGTTAAATGATTTTTCAATACCGCGCACAAAACTCGACTTTTATTTTTACATTTTCTACGTCGAAGTGTTTTACTTTAAGAGACTAACATTTTACAATTGGAATTAACAATGTACAGTTTTGTAATTGTAAAGTTTAAAGTTTGGTTTTATCATATTCTACACATCTCTTTCTCTCACAAAAGTCTTGGACAATTAACGAAGAACGGACAAATTTGTTTCAGTATGTTTATTGTGTGATTTAAAGAGTTTACTTAACCACACAAGTAAGAATGCTGTAAATGACATTATTTATGGAATCTTGTTGTATTTTTTTTATCTAAGAGACATATAGTACCAAAATGTTAACGCCGTCAAACTGGAGCATAGTCCATTGGTGACGTCGTCTGATCGAAGGTATCCGCTGTCAAAGTAGTCGCCTTGGGCGTACAATGGCGCTTCGTCTTTGCGCTCTTCTTTTTCTTCTTCGTCTTCTTTTTCTCGCCGTCCTTCGACCGAATCACTCGATTGTGCGGTTTGTCGGTCTGCTCCGTGATACGCTGCGGTCGATTGACATCTTCAACTTTATAAGCGCGAATAAAGAAGGAAGCCTCGCCCCTTTTTTCTGGCGACGATTCACTCGTGGAACCTTGGGTTGACCGAACAAGACGATTCTTCAGTTTATTCCTTTCCGCGGCGGACGATTTACTCTCTTTCAAAGTATCAACGAGCGTTCTGACAAATCGATTCCTCAGTTTGTCCTTCTCTTCGGACGATGATTTACTCTTGTCTAAAGTATCTTGGACCATTCTGATAAATCGATTCTTCGGTTTGTTCTTCTCCTTGGACGAGTCGCTTCCCGAAGTATTCTCAGCCGCTCGGATAAATCGCGAGTTCTTCGTCTTGTCCTTCTCTTCGGACGACGATCCGCTTTCCGCGTTAACCTTGACCCTCCTGACAAATCGACTTTTCGGATTGTTCTCCTCTTCGAGCGAGTTGCTCTCCGATGTATCCTGAATCGCTCGGATAAATCGATCTTCCTGTTTAGCCTTGCTCTCTCCGGACAACAATCCTGTACTCCGGAAAGTATCCTCTTTAATATTCCTTGCTTTTCGTTTCTTACTCTTTGTACGATCATTGTCGTCGCAGTCGCACTTTTTATCATCGTTGTCGTCGTCGTTGTCGTCGTCATCGTCATCACAATTTTCGTCGTCATTCTTGCTCGATTTCGCACGTTTCTTGCTCTTCTTACAACAATTGTCGTCGTCGTCGCCATCATTGTCATCATCGTCGTCATCGTCATCATCGTCGCTACTGGAAGAACTGCTGCTGCTGCTACTGCTGTCATCGTCGTCTTTCTTGGCCTTCCGCTTGGTCGAACGTCTCACGCGCTCAAGTTCCCACATTTCTTCCTCCTGCTCTTCGTTCTCCAGGGGCCTCCATTTGTCGTCGAGGTACAAGTCTCTTCGCGTACGTTTCTCAGCGCCCTTTTCCTCGCTGGATGAACTCGAACTGTCGGGCTGCTTTTCAACTACGGCGGCATCGACAGTGGCGATCGGTGTCGTCGTTAACGCGTCGCCCTGATCCTGCGCAGGACTCTGATCCTCTTGCACGGGATGTGCCCAGACGACGCGCGCAACTGTAAGTCCCGCGAGAAGACCCGTGAAAAAAAGTAGCGAGCTGCGACGCATAATTGATGACGTAACTCACGATCGGCAGGACGATTTATACTCGCGATGGCAGTCGAACGATCGCCTTATATACCGCGGTTGCGAAGCAGAACTGATAAGGAAAGAAATGATATCGGGCGAGACGCGCTATTGCTGACGTAGCGATGCGTGCTGAAATCGGTGGTGGAGCAGCGGACGGTGATGAGAGGCGGGGAAATCCGCGGGCAAGATCCTCGTTATCGCCGTTAACCCGTCGATGGTCCGCTTTGATTCCATGCAGGCACTTCGGTTCGACTTGGAACTTGGGCAGCTTCGCGCGCGCTTTCGCGAGATCGGCGATTTGCACCCGCTTCAGCCGCGGATCATCGATCGATCGCACGAGCGAAGAGTTAACGCCACCCGGCACGCACGCAACGTGGATCAACGATCGCGATAAAGGGCAGGAGGAGGAGGAGGAAACGACTTCGCTAGGGGTTCCGCTTATCGAGATTCCGCGCGGCGCGCGCTGCCAGTGAACGCGACGGTTCTCGCATCGAGATCAGACCCGATGCGTGTGATACCGCGGCTCCTCATAGCTAGGCAAGTGGCTCGAGGCTGCAGAATAATTACTTTGAAATAACGTCGCTGCCTTCATCTCGATAAGATAAGAATCTCGAGAAGGCGTAATGAGCGACCGACGCTGCGAACGGGACGCTTCCTAAGAGAGTGTTCGACAAAAGGAAGAAGAAAAAACCGCGCCGAGAATTATGGATCGGGGCGTCGACTAAACCCAACTCTCGATAGATATTATTAACTCTTTACCGAACTTATCGTCATCTTTGAAGCTCGACGGCAATTTACACTTTCAAGTTTGATGACTCGCGCAATTTTACGCTGCTTATCACGGCATCCGCCGATAATGATCCAAATGTACTATTTATTTTTCGTTCTAGATAGCAAATTGCATACGTCGTATTCAAATCTACGGTGAACAATGCGCGATGGTCTCTTATTAGTTCATTTTGTCGAATTGCTGAAGGAACAAAAATATAAATAAGATTTATATTCACATGTTCCGAACTTCTGATTGAACCTAAAGATTCCAATTTTCAAAATCAGTCGGTACTGTATTTAATATCTTTTTGGACATCTTCATTTTATATAATATTTCTTTCGCAATTTAATTTTGCGCCCAAGAGAGCGTAAATAAATATAATACATATGCATTTATTTAACATCAAAAAGACGTTGTGTTGGTACTTCATAATGTTGCGCTTAATTAAACGCGATAAATTTGTATGTCTTAACGAGTCTCTAATTACATTTACATGGTTATGAATATTTAATTGCGCTTTAATTCATAATTCTCATGAAAACTGCTCGTTTTACGGCAATTTTAATCCAACGTCGCCCATTGCTCGTCGTAAAATATGAATGAGACGGCGGATCGCGTGTAGCCGTGAGCAGGAACAAGTAAAGACGTTTCGGAGGAACGCTTTTAAAGCGTGCATCGAGGAAAATACAAAGCCCTTCGCGCGAGGGAACCGTTAAATTCTTGTAATGACGTACAATTTTCTGTGTTTGCGATTTAACAGCCGACTAACAGGCGAGTTTTCGTTCCTTTTAATTTCTGCACTCGTTCTCGCGAACCCACTTGGAAGAGAATGGCATTAATCGTTGAAGGTGTACTTACACGAGCGAATGAACGAACGTTCACTCGAATCTCCTTCATCAGCTGTGATACACCAGTTCCGTTCAGTACTCCCGACGCTTTGAGTTTTCAGGAAGTCGTCATTAGCGTCTTGTCGTGAATTTATATTCCTCCTGCATTGTTACTTAAATGTAATCTAATTTTTATCAAAAACTTCTGACTCTAAAAGAAACTTGGTTTTACTTTCTGACAAATAGCCTGCGTCTCTTGATTTTTTGGAAGTTGCACACGGAAAAAGGAATGATGTTGCACCAACAAGATCAGTGTAATTGAAATAAAATCATCAGTGTTTTCTTGACCATACCTGGCATTTTTTAATAATACAGAAAATTTATTGCGAAAAGTATTATTAAATACGTTGTTAATTACCGCTGGCGACACTGAAGAATTTCTTATTAGTTGAAATAAAATCGTTGAAACAACATCGGTATTAATAAATGAAAAACATCAGATTGTTTTAATCATCTGGATATTCAGTTCAATGCTTACAATTAAAATCCATAGGAAATACAATTGCGTGAATTATTTATGTTTGTTGCAGCCCGTGAACGTTAACGTTTAATTCAAGCGACTTCATTTTGTTTAATTCAATAGCATTTTTTTTCGCGCAGGCATCTTGAATAATGTTGTGTTGCCCGTTTTAGATCCGCGGAAGAAATAATGACAATGTTGCTGGAGGCCAGCGAGGAGGGCATAGGCGGAAGCTGGGACGGCGGTAGGATCGTATGGAGTGTGCGTTATGCGCTCGAGGGCGAGGAGGAGAACGGCTCGCAGTTGACGGGCGCCGATCAGTTGCAGCAGCGAATGCAGCAACGCCAGCTGCAGCATCATCATCATCATCATGTCGAGAGACGGAAACTGCAGGCACGGCTGGAGATACAGAAGGATGATATACAGGCGGTGCTTCCGATCTCCAAGGTAACACGCGATTCTTCTGGCTACATAAGCGTTAATTCCAAGTTTAAGCACGCGAGCGAAAAAATTCAAATAGAACGCGGAGCGGAGATGCGAATATTTTCACTTTGCCGACAATTATTTCCGCTTTCCATCTTTATCTCCAACATCGATCAAAACTTTCGACGAAACAGCCAGGCGTTAAAATTCCTACAAACCGCTCTAGAACATTATTGCGCAACGTGGGTTGAAAAATTTTGAGCCTAACATAGAATCCATTTTTTTTTCGGTCAAACTCACTTTAATTTTTCGACATAGTCTCTTTTTAAGTCGGTACACTTAATTCAGCGATGCTTCGACCGCTTTAACCCGTCCAAATAATAGTTGGCGTCTTGTTTTGCAAAATAGGCGTCTACGGATGCTACGATCTCCTCGTTCGATGAAAATTTCTGTCCTCCGAGGCAAATTTTGAGTTTAAGAAACAGAAAAAAGTCACTGGGGGCTAGATCTGGTGAATACGGGGGGTGGTCAATCAGTTGGAACTGCAATTCGTGAATTTTGGCCCGATATTGGATTTTTTTCCATGTTTACGAAAACACTAACATCATTACATTCTTACGCAGTTAATGAAATAACTGGAAGTCTATTCGCAAAACTATCTAATGCTAGAGACTGCAGAAAAGAGCTTCGCGCCTCTGACGTCATAATCTGTGAGTGGTAAGATGAACTTTAAGACGACGTCGTAGGAAAAGTAGAAGTCGAAGGGGTTTTGAGATTTCGGTCAGATTTCGACGCTCTTCCCTCCGGTTATGATTATTTCCATCGCGACGATCTCCGTCCCCTGCGTCTCGTACTTGGTACCCGGTCGGCGAAAATCCGTCGGAAAAGAGCTAACTCGAACGACGAGCGCGATCAATACGGTCGCGTATATCGATCACCCCACCGCGCGAGAATCTGTTTCCACTCGGTCGGCCAATCTACGATCCTCGCGAGCATCGAGACAAGAGAGAAAAAGGAAGGAAGGGCGGTGAGAAAAAGGAAAAGAGGGAAAGAGGACCGACAAAGGATAATGCTTTTCCCTCTTTGGCTCCCACGGCGAACACTCTGATGCTTTTCTCCTCGGCTTTTCCGCGCCCGCGCTTTCACCATAACGGCGATATTTCTAGTTCGTGGCGAAATTCCATCGATACCGCAGAGAGTCGATCGCCAGAACTACGTACACCCATTTCGATAACGGCAGCGACGCATCTGCCGTAACAACGGGTCGTAATGAAATTTTCGATTGCCGCGCGGCATCGACGCATCTCCGCCTTTCTTCGCAAAGTGAAATGTACGTAGAGCGAAACGTTAATCTCCTTACTTCCTGTAAGGAAATATTTCGCGTGAATATTAACGAGTTCTGAAGAATATATTTTAGCGATAATAGCGGGGTCGCAAATGGTTGAAATTATTTCGAGTGTTTTCTTCATGGATACGTAACGCAGTAACGAGTATTTTCTTAATTAAACTGTAATTTATCTTCTAATGAGGTCTCGTCGTGTTTTATTTATAAAAAAAATTGAAACCGGTGGTGTGAAGGTGCCTGTATTCACGTTCGTATTACGTTCAAATGCGCTTTTGATGAATCACTTTTCACAGCAAGTCCACGCAATTGGGACACGAGCCTCTTGGTATGTAAATTAGGTCTGACGGGTCCACACTATCTATGACATGCTCGCAATTTCCAGTAACACGACGCAGCAGGTGCATAGTACATAACTCTACGTATGAAAGTCAATATGAAATTACATGATCGGGCACATTCATCCGATAGAATCTTAAGCGGTTGATTAGAAAGAGAGAAGAGAAATATTACACCCAAATTCGGACAACAATTGCTGAAGCGTATAAAACGGGCAATGACAAGTTTTGTACGATATCTTTTTATAATAGCAATCTATCTTGCGAAATCATATTCTTTAGATAACTTTATAAGTGGACTTTATGTCGATATAAATTTGAACATAGAAATCTCTTTAGGTTGCCAGTAATAAATAACAATAAGTAGGGTTTTAGTCGACCTTAACTGGCACGTGTTTAATAAAAGAACATAGAAAGCGACGTTTCGACCTGGTTTAGGTCCTTTTCAAGCAAGTTCTAAAATGAAAAACCGATAATCGAGATTACAAAATTCGTCAGATATGCAGAATAAATTAATAAATAATTCAAATTTCGCTTTGTGTGTTCTTTTATTAAACATGTGCCAGTTAAAGTCGACTGAAATCTACTTAATATAAATTTCATTTTAACTTTGTAATATTACTCTTAAGGATATACAATTGTAAAATTTACAAGCTGTGACGAGTGATTTTTATCGATATCTCTACTAAGGATTCATTTTTAAATTAACCGAAGGGTAATTGGGATTTAATGATTTTCTGCTGTAGATGACGTTACAGGGTAGTACTTTAATTGTGCTAATTTATCACATTTTTACGTAATATCGAATTTGACAATGACGTGAGCGAAGTTAATCTTAAAATTTGGAATCACAATATCGGCGGATAACGTAGGGCAAAGGTCGAGGGCGCCGAGGAAAGAGGTCGCGCGAGGTCTTTTTTAATTAAAAACTTCACTCGCAGTCTCGCGCGTGGAAGGAGCTGCAATTAGAGTAAGGATAATCAAGAAGCGCGGATAGAGTTTCCGACAACTTCCCGCGAGCGAGCGAGCGAGCACGCGGCGCCTTCAAAAGGATATGTAAACGAATTAATTATCTAATTTATCAATTAGCGACCTCCGACACGCGCGCTTGTTCTCTCCACTGAAATTTATCAACGTAATGGCCCGTGTATTGTGCATATTTTACGCGCAGTAACGTAAAATCCTCCCTTGTATTTCCTCCTACCACCGTCGATGAAACATCGTCCTACGTTGAAAATATTTCCATGTTCTTTTAATAAACTCGCAAGATAATCTCGCTCATCTCGGAATGTCTGGAAAGTAACGGCGTGGTGCTTCATTCGTGTGTGAAATTTTACGAACCTGCAAGTTGAACTGCATGCTCAATTCATACATGAAGCTTTGTATTATACATTGCCGCGTATACTATACTCTTGAACATTGCTGCGTGACAAACTGTTAAACTATTAAGGGCCAGTTTCACAAACGTCGGTTAACTGCTAACCGAAGGTTAATTGATCCGCTGTCTCTTCTTAAATAATAAGATGAAAAAAGATAGGGAGTCGACTGAACCCTAGTTAACAGTTAACCGATGTTTGTGAAACTGGCCCTAAAAGAAACAAAACGGAGCGACTAATTGTAAGTAGTTTAAAATAAAGACGGCGTGTGCATTTTCTCGTAAGGAACTAATAATATCACGGTATCTGCTCTTTCTTAAAAGAGCGGTTCATAGTTGAATTATATAAAACGTTAGGATCAAAATTGTCTAAATCTAATCATTTCTCGCTAAAAATAAATCTCTTCTAGGAGATTTGCTTAAAAATAATTCAATAGAATTTGAAATTGGAGAATCTCGTAATAACAAATTGGTATTTCCCGCGGAGCATAGAAAGTAAACTAGAAATTTGCACGATAAATAAAAAGTTTTCAGGCTGATTTCTAAAACTCTTAATTAATTATGCGCCCTTAATCGCGTCTCAGGCTATTATTAGCCCGGTATTGTCGCGAATGATTAATATAGAAAGTTGGGAAAGAAAGCGCCATTCAATTACAAATTTTCACACGAGCAAAATCGACTTTAATCCTCGGATGTTTCCAAATGGAAGTTTGAAAAATTCAAAT